GAGCCAAAGAAGTCCCCCAATGAGCAGTTCCATAGTCTGAAGGGCAGGGAAACAGCCCAATGAACATCACCGCAGAGGAGCCAATCAGCTAGATGTTGCTAGGGCCGCTGTGAGCCAATCACGAGCTGGCATTCTGAAGGGCAGGGAAACAGCCCAATGAACATCACCGCAGAGGAGCCAATCAGCTAGATGTTGCTGGGGCCACTGTGATCCAATCATCAGCTGGCAGCTGGAAGTTTGCTGGGGCCCCTTTGGCTGTGGCTCTCAACAGACCTGGTTGGAAGGGACAGTCCTGTACCAAAGACTAGGCTCTAGTGGGTGTCTGCTCTACCTGAGGAGGGGTGGAATGGGCCTGCTATTCACCTGGACCCCACAGAGGCCAGTGTGGGTGGACCTCCAGGATAATATTGCAAAGCAGGAGTAATTAAAGGGATAAGAAACAATGCTTCTGTGAGGAACACATGATTATACTCTGTATGAAGAAAATCCAGAAGAAGTAAAGTAAAATGATTCAATTCATAAAAGCGTACATAAGTTTTCTAGGCATGAAATAAACAAAAACTGAACTTAATTTTCTTACAGAAACAAATAGAAGGAAAAGAAAAGTAAAAGTAATACAACTCATAAGTATCACACCAGAATATCAAGTACCTATGAATATATTAACCAAAAATGGTTAAACAATTTACAGAAAAATATAAATTATTACTAGATAAAATCATGAAGCCCTATACAAATATTTAATAAAATGTTATGAAAATAGTCAATATTGCAAGCATGTTAGTTTTTCACAAAATTAATCTATGGTTTGAGTACAATTTCAGTTTTAAAAAGCCAAAAGATTTTGTATATGAATGTATATGTAATCTTGATATGATGTTTCTAAAATTGAAAGTTATACATATGGTCAAAGATAGCCAAGATATTATTGAGAAAAATAAAAGCTAAGAACAGTAACACTACTGGGTACAAAGAATTACTAAAAAGGTACAATAATATATTTGTATTTTGGGAATAGTGTTTGACAAATAGACCACTGAAGTTTAATAGAAAGTAATGGGAAATAGCCACTTATAAACCAAACCTTGATTTGTGACAAAAGTACAAGCGCAGAGTAGTGTGGAAAGAACAGTTTTAAAACTAAATAACAGTGGAATAACTGGTATTTATGTAGAAAGCAAACTAGAACTGGAATTCTCCCACCCACTAGATGAATAAAACTTTTCTTGGTATATTAAATAATTTTTTTAAAAATTGTAAAATTTAAAAACAGTTTTATATCATAATATAAAATCATACACAAAAGCAAAGTGGTTATTAGTTTATTTTATCACCAAGAAAGCTGGCAGTATGGGCCATAGGGGATAGGTAAGTCTGGAAGAGAAAGGATGGGTTTCATCTGGGTCATTGGGCATGTCAGTGATCAAATGGGTGGAGGTGATATGAGATGGAGGAAAAGATAGGAAAGGCAACTCCTTCAGACTCGGGCCTCAGACACGGATATCCTTGATACATCTATGGACCTTTATTTTCAAAGAGCAGGACAGAAACTTAAAGCTAGCTTGGAAAAAAGTTATCCAGGTCAATGATCTGTTCATTCCAC